ATTTGTACCCTAAAGTTCAAAGTGGGGAAGCAGCCTTGACAGATGCTGATCAAATACATAGGGCATGGTGTCATTTTTCAGAAAATGGCTAGTGATTGTGGGTGCTCTGTGTTTGCACGCTAAATATGAGACACCTTGATGGGGACCCAGTTTCAGAGGGTGTGGCTATTAAGTCAGGACCTTTAAATTCTCTTCAAGTTGGAGACACCAAAATTGAAGCACCTAAAATCGCTAACCATTTTTTAAAATCCTGAGCTGTGTTTGGAGCTTGTTTTATGTTGGCAGTGCAACAGGGCTGGGAAATCTGGAATCGACCTCCAAGATTGGAGCAATGTGTCATCATTAGAAATTGGTCAGACAACTCGTTTCTGACGAACGAAGGATGGATGCATCTTGAGGCGCAATGCCAGGCATTAAGATGAGCACTGCCAGACCGTGCTTATGACTCCTCACAAGTGACTTCAGACTTCACTCCAGATTCTAATTCTAATGGAGAAGAGAATACCCAGCCAGGCTGCAATTCTGTCTAGTTCTAATTCAGCAGCTAGGGTTTGAGTTCTAAATACAGGAGATCCTTGTATCCGCACTATTAGTAGAAATGGAAGAATTGTCAGAAGACCTAATAGATGTATTGATGTGTTTCTGTGAGATAAATAAAAACAAGGGGAGGAATTTGGCATAGTACCATCGTGTGGACACACCAAATATCTATTTAATCTAATCTGAGTAAGCCAGATGTAACTTCAGTGACTCTGCCACTGGGAGGGAAAAGCTGGGCTATGAGATCAGTTTACTAAGGGAGCCAAATTCAGTCTCTCATGCAAATCATTTGCCTGCCAGTGTTATAATTTATAAGCCTGGTACCTGACTTTAAGAAGGGAATTATGAGTGAGACAGTAATATTAGTGCCCTGCAGTGGTCTCCGTGTATTAGGAAAGATGCAGTTTATATTCACTGTGAGGCCATTCTGTACTAGTATATCAGTCGGACCTGTATTGGAAGACCCGTGGAGATGTGTCTGTACCTACCTGGGGAAAGGCCCTGCTTTGATGGGTTTACAGTCTAAATGGACAGGACAAAGGGAAAAGAAATGATTTGCCTAAGCTCACACAGCCCGGCCAGGACTAGAGCCCAAGTCTCCTGAGTTGCAATGCAGGGCGCTAGCCAATGGACCACACTGCCTCTCATGTGTTCCTTTTTCAAAGCAAAAGATGGGGCTTAGTAAGTTATAACACCTGCAGACCAAGGCTTTGCCCGAGAGACTGCATTTGGCTCTATTAAACTGAACTTGGAGACCAGCTTTTTCCCCCAAAGATTTTGAGTCATTCACCAAATAATTCACCACAGATAATTTGCTTGTCCTGAGAGCTGGGTAAGTGCAAACATGCATTTATATAACAGACGTTTGTGGACCGTCTTAGCCCCAGCTGTCACTACTGAGAATGCTCTTATAGGGCTCTCTTCATTGCATCCCTTATTAAAATGCAGCCACCTCTGGAGGGGTTTTTTTATCAGCCATCATAACAGCACCATCAACACTAATGGGTTTTAGGACAGGAAGAAAACACCATGGAAGCATAAGGTAATTTAGATAAGCAAAATGCAGTGACAAGATATTTAGCCAGGATTCCGGGGCTAACTTCCCTTGTTTTGGGAAGAGTGTAATGAGTTATGAATGGCAAGAAGCATGCTGTCTCTTCAGCTTGGCTGCTCAAAGGAGAGCTGGGTGCACTGGCACAGAGAGGGTACTATGAGATAATTTGGGGACATCAGAAGTATTTCTCAGAAATTAGAGAAACATGGATACTGCCCACTTTCCCGTGTCCTATGTCTTCTGGTCAAACCATTTGGCATGAATGAGCCTCAACCCATCCCATGGCAGTTACAGAGGCAGAATCAGTGGGACAAACCAACTTTACATAGCCCCCTGTCAAGAACTTGTTAATAGTTTAAGCCAATCAGAATGTAACAGACAGCTTTGTTCTGATCCTTCTTGTTCAGGATTATTTCAGACCATAACGTCTGGCACCATCGGCAAGGAACAGCTGCAGTCTCTGCTGCAGAACCTGTACCCCAGAGAAGACCCAAAGACCATTCAGGAACTTGGCACTCTTTACCTCAGTGAAGTGGATAAAAGCAATCAAGGTAATTTGGCAGCTGTTGAGTTAATTATTTGCCATGTATGGGCGGGACTACCTCATGATTATGACGAACTAGCTGGTGCCAGTCACCACACTGACTCCCCCTGGTTCCCATTACTGACATCA